GAGACCACTGTGGAAGTGAGTCTGAAGATGAAAGTCAGCTATGTTCAGTTAATATGAGAGGGAGCAAGTAGTTGACTGTTCGCCTTTGCATGTATGTAATCATAATGCAGTTATCATGGATTTTGCCTTTCTGTAAACAGGTCACAACAGGGAAGTTGGCATTGATTGAGAACAAATGATTTCTTTTATAAAAATGATGGTGAATGTGATGGCCAAAAAGTCATGAAAATAAATATTTTGGTAGTCACTACTGGGAGTGACCAAAAAAACAACAACCAAAAAAGTCTACAACTAGAAAGGAACTATTATTTCAGATATGAACCAAGAACAAGAGCTCACTCACAACTGACATGGGGATTAGGAAATGTGAAAAGAACAAAACTTTGTCTTGAATCTTTGGATTAAAGTTCCCAAATTAGTGAAGTCAGTAGAGGCAAGATTTAATGGTATTTTTAATTTGCTCTTGCATTACTCATGCAAAAGCCTTCTGATATTCTCAATAAAAAATTTTTAAAAAGCACAGAACAGACACAATAGAACAAAATAAAATCCTTTTTAATTATTTCCTAAGTATCTAACTTCTTCCCTACTCTCCAAGGAAAGATTAATTTATGGAAATTTCCATCAATATATTGATGCTTGCTTATCAAAACTAAAGTTTGAAGTTGGAGCTCATTATAGAAATTGTAAAGTGTGATTAGAATACTAAGTATCCTGTACACAGGTGCAAATTAAATTGTACATAGTAAAATACAGTTTGTTACAGCTCAGAACCTTTTTTTTACAGTTGGTATAATGTTAATGCTTGAGCCATTGTCTTCCCTGTCCCTGGACCCACCTACCTGTTTTTCTCCCCTATTTTGTTATCTACTGGTTCTGTCTTCCTGGGAGCATTTTCTGATTCCCTAAGACTGAATGAAGTTTCTCTCTTTTAGCTTTCATCCCAGTCGTATTTACTTCTACAGTTCCATGTGTCACATTGTATTATAAGTGCTTTATACATTCATTTGTCAGTCTGGATATATTGTAAAAGTGGGAGTAAACATAGATTCCTCTCCCTTAAAGCAGTTGGGTCTTTGTATAGGGCACAGACTAAAAAAGTATTGGTAATAGAAAACTATGTTTTAATGCCACCAAATGTGTTCAATGCATAGGTAAGAAAATGTAGTTAAGACTTTTTACCTTCTCACCATTTTAAGTAGCATAGATGCATGCTGAGTATAGTGGGTGAAGTTCATTTAGCATTCTGATGGTCTCAAAAACCTGTACTTTTTTGTCTATTCAATCAAGGCAGAAACCTACCGCTACCAATAAGTCTTGGCAGATACAAGTCTTGTGTTAGCTGCCCTGGAAGCAGACGCCAGCTGGATACAGCCCTGACTCTTGTGAAGAGTTGTTAAACATTCAGAGCCAAACCACAAGTTGTTTATGTGTGTGTAAAAAAATATGTATATGTGTATACAT